CGCCCCGCCCCGCCCCGCCGGCGCACCTGTTGCAGAAGCTGGGGTAGGGTCTGGGGGTGCGCAGGAGAGGAGGGGGCACCTGTTCCTGGGCCATCTGGGGCTGAAGGACAGGGGAGGCAGCGGTGGGGGGAGGGGAATGCTGACATCTGGGGGCACAAGGCAAACTCTCATTTAATCCCAGACACGCGTCTGCGCTCAGTAACAGTAATCCCATATGTGTGCCCATTTTGCAGAGGAAGAGACTGAGGCTAAGTCAGACACTTTGCCCCAGGGCCCTTAGCCTCGAGGGTCAGCAACTTTTGATTGTCAGCTCCTCCCTGGGGCAGGCTGGCCAAGGTGTATGGGGTGGGGCAGAAGGCAGGGATGCGTGTTAGCAGCCTCACCCCCCACCCCCACAAGGGGTATCTGGCCGTGTCTGAAGGAGGCTTAGGAGACTGCCTCTCAGGGCATCTCCAGAGCAGAGCAAACAGCTGGGCCTTTCCCAGCTCTGGGTGGCCCCTCCAGTGGACCAGCAGCGGTCCCCTCTAATCCCTCACACACGCGCACCACGGCGTCCACACCACTACACTTGCACACCCACATACTGGCAGTCACAGACACGTGGACTTACACACACTCCAGGGGAGGGCAGAACTTTCCCTGGCCCACCTGAGAGCTGGAGACGCTCACCTGAGCAAACCCAGCCTCGCTCCCCCCAGTGCCCACCTGTGCACCAGGCAGGGCTCGCAGCAAGGCAGCTGGTTCACTTGGTGAGGTCCCGGCCGGAATTGGAGGGTGGGAGGATGCTAGGCGGGGGCATGAGTGGTTCTGGCCACCTCGTGCAGGAGGGATCCAGGCAGTGGTAGGGGTGGGGTGGGTGCTGACCTGTGTCCTCCAGGCTGGGTGCCCTCTGCGGGGTAAAGTCTGGGTGGAGAGTGGTTCTGTACCTGGCCCTGGCGCTGGTAGAACAGGTGTGAATGAGGGCCCAGCTCCCCCCAGGGCTGTATGACCTTGGGCCAGGTGTTTCCCCGCTCCAAGCCTCGGCTTTTCCATCTGTTCATTGGGGGGCCGAAATCTTACGTGGGGGTTCTGTGGGGCTAACGACATAACACCTGCAAAGGGGCACAGAGAGGGCATTTAACTTGGAGCTAAAAATAAGAGAGTTGGCACACAGCTGGCCGTGCCGCACCACGGCCTCCCACCTGCAGGAGAGCCTGAAGAAGCTCCACGCCCCGGGCGTGTGCGAAGTGCCTGCTACGCAGTGGACAGGCCCTGAGCCAGACCTCGAGCCACTCTGTTCTGGGTCACAGGCGTGAGGATCCCCACACCTCGCCCTCTGAGAGGGACAGCGTGCTACTCCCGTGGGTGCCCCGGTGCTTTGCTCAGTGCCAGGCGTGCGCAGGAAGTGGGGCTACCTGTTGCCAGGCTCTGGGGTCCTGCCCTGTGTGGCCGGGGCTGAGGAGACAGAGGTGTCCTTCGTCGTCTTCCTGTGGCTGAGTGACTGTCCTCGGGCTTGGAGGGCGGGCTGTGAGTCACCATGACGCAGATGCCCAGTCACGGCTGCTCTGCTCCCGGCTGGCAGCCTGACTGTTCTAGGGGCAGCAGGGACAGAGAGGGGACCCCCGCAGAGAGGGCAGGGCAGCGCTCAGGGAAGAGGATGCACAGGGCCCCACTGTCCCCTTCAGCCTAAAGGATGAGGGTCGTTAGTGCCCCCAGCCGGGGTCCCTTGCTCACCAGCCCAGACATATGGGACAAGTGGGTGGTCCTGGCTCTCTCTGTCCGCCATGTTCCTGCTGGCCAGCTCCACACTGGCTCAGTCCTCCTACTGTGTAGATGGATGCTCAGAGACGGGCAGCGGCTTACCCAAGGTCACACAGCAAATGGATGGCAGAACTGGGTCTGGCACTTAGTGTCCCGCTGGGCAGCCCAGCCTGTCACCAGCCTGAACCTGGGCCCTGTAGGGACGGGTGGCTCCCCTTGCAGTCACCTTCCCATCCTTGGAATTCTGCTGAAGCGGGTGATGTCCGGTCAGTTCCAAGATGCGTGGCTTCGTCCCCGGGGCAGGCTGTCCTCTCCTAGCTTACCCGCAGCCATCTGCCCCGTGACCTCCCACTGCCCCCCTTCTGTGGCCACCTTGCCACAACCACTGGGGGGGGCTAAAGGGACCAAGGGAGAAAATGCCCTGGCCGCGCCCCTCACAGCTCGCACCCCACTCTCCAGACATGACTTTGGGGATCCAGGCAGAGCCCCCACTCCTGCGCTACCCTGCCTGTCCCTGCACCCAGCCCCAGTCTGGGCGCTGAGCGGGGAGCGGCGGTGCTGCAGGAGTTGAGCAGGGACAGACAAACCAAGCAGAGCTGTTTCCGGATGAATCAGGCTCGTCCCTGCCAGCAGTCCAGGGCAAGGCTGGCAGACGCTGCAGGGAGTCCTGTGCGTAAGGTACTCGGGGTCAAGGTGGACAGTGCCACATCCCCACGCCGGCCAAGTGTGACAGGAGAGCGCTTTTTGCCAGTGCCTGTGGGGACGGCCTTGAGGCAACGTAACCCTGGAGCTGAATTCTGTAGGTGGAGCAGTATGCTGGGGCAGAGGCGGCGGAGGGCCTGTACACACAATGCTTCGGAGACAGGGACATCCGGGGACATACTGGGCACTGGCAGATATGGCGTCCAGGCCACCCATGGGAGAGGGCAGGGCTTTGGGCAGGGGATGCCTCATACATCTCCCCAGGACAGGCAGAGCCTGATAAGCAGAGACCTGGAGCCTGGGTTTGAAGCCTGCGCCCAGAACGGTGCATCGTAGGTGCTCAATGAATATTTGTTTTTTTTTGTTTTTTTTTTGGAGAGATTTTCACTGTAGGGCGCGTGCGCTCGCCAGACAGACAGAGAGAGACATAGAGACAGAAAGAGAGAAATCACCCCCCAGGGGGGATGGTCATGCCGCAATCCCTTCTCCTCCATTCTCCTCTCGGGATCTTGGGCACACACGCACACGTGCCCGGCGTGAGTTTTAAGCCACCGGGTCCGGGACACGAACCGCGGTCGACTACGTGGGAGTCCAGCAACATAGCCATTACACTAACTGCTGGTTCCCAATGAATATTTGTTGAATGAATGCGAAAAAGTGAGACTTGTCCAAGGTCCCACATCTAGAAAGCGGCATAGCCAGGGCTGAGCCAAGCTTTCATTCACCCAGCATGTACTGGCTGAGCCACTCCGAGGCATGTGCCAAGCGCTGTCTGGAGTGGAGAGCACAGCACGAATGAGACGCCCTGCTCGGGGAGCTCATGGCTCCGGAAGGCGAGCGCAGAGACTGATGCGGTGAGGACCCAGACAGACCAAGCAGCACAGCCCTGGGAGCACTAGGAAAGCGCCCTTGAGAGTGTAGAAGAGAGGGTTTGATCCAGCCTCACTGTGGTGGGGACATCCGGGGCGCACAGCTGAAGGTGAGCAGGACTCAGCTGGGCGGAGGAGGCTGCAGGTGAGAAGGGGCGAGTCCCAGCAGGCAGAGAGGAATGCAGAGGGAGAGATGGCCAAGTGGCTACTGCAGGGCCTGAGGGGGGCTGGGGGGCCTCGTCCTCTGCTCATCTGTAAACCAGCTCCCTCCCATTCACTCTCCAGTGGGCTCAAGGCCCAGAGGAGTTTCCCTGCTCCTCAGGGGGCCCAGGGACAGAGCTTGGGGAGCCTGAGAGAGAAGACCCAGGCTGGCCTCAGAGAGTGCGCACTCTCGGCCCCAGGCTCAGGGCTGGGGCCTTTCGGATGGAGTTGCTGGACTGGGTGGGGTAGGGAGAGGAAGAGAAGGGTAGACGCCTAGCCTGGTGGGGAGCTTCCTGCCTGTGGAGGGGACACAGCACCATGCTGGGCACTGGGACAGTTGGGACAAGAGTAAGCCCTCCCCTGGGGAAGCTTCCAGGCTGGGGAGCAGAGATGCCCTAAGTTTATCTCTAAAATACTTGGCCCAGGCCTGGTCCTGGGTGACTGCTCCATGACAAGATTCTTTCCTTAGGGCCCAGAGGCCGGCTCCCGGATCCTGGAGCTCAGGACCTCCACAGGCAGGAGGGAATTCCGCACTGGAACCAGAGCGGACATGCAGAGTGGGGCTCGCTGGCCCGGACTGCTTTTCCTGAGCTGTGGGTGTCATGTAAAACATGGCCACCAGAGGGCAGCCTAAGACAGCAACTTTCCTTGCTGCGGTCATGTTCTCCCCGCCACCCCCCTTGGCCAATTGACCCAGAAAGTACCATGCTGGCAACTGAGAGCCAGCTGTGGCTCGAGGCTGTGCACCCTGCGTCCTGTACAAAGGTGCCCAGCCGAAAAGGAAGGGACCAAAACTGCCCATGTTCTGAGCACGAGCAAGGGCTGTCTGCCCCAGGGAAGGGTGCCTTTCTCCTAGTCCCACCGTGTCACCCCCTCTAAGCTGTGGTCGGCAGGGCTGCGCCCACCAAAGAGGAGGCCTTTTTCTCAGGTGCTCAGAGTCTGTATAGAGTAGCCACACCCCTGCATTCCGACAGCTCCTGGCCTGACCCTGCTGGAGATGTGGACCTGAGACCCAGGGGAGGAACCAAGGTCAGGTAGCAATGGAGCTGGACGGGGACCCCAGCAAGACTCCGTCTCCCTTACAGAGGGTTCAGGCACTGAGCGCTTCTTCTGGGGACCGTGTCCTGCTGGGGATCCTGGGAACTGGGGCTCGGGCCTTTCTGGAGGAGCCTGACCTGGGAATGTGCCCACTCCCAGTTCCAGGCTCAGGATTGGATGCTTCCCACTGGAGGGGATGTCAGGTTGGAGTCCTCCCCAGGCCACCAGCTGGACTAGGTGGGCTCTGGTGAGACAGAGGGGCCCACCCCCAGCCCCGTGGGGGAGACAGAGCCCTCAGGAGCTCCAAGTCTCATGGAGGAGACACAGCCATACTGCCGATCCCTGTCCTGCACACGGGACTCGGGTGCGACCAGCCCGTTCCCTGGGAAGCGTCCAGCCTGTGAGTGAACAGTTGCTGAGAGTCCACAGCATGCGACAGGCAGCCCCAGCCCCTCGGGGACGGCATCTGGTCACAGTGACGACCCTCAGCTGTGGGGAGGGGCTCTGCTGACCTTGGGGCGCTGGAAGGGCAGTTGGGCAGCTGCAGGTGTCTGGGTTAGAAGAGCAGCAGTGGTAACCATGTCAGCTGTCATGGCACCTGGTGCCGTGTGGCACCTTCCCCTTCCTGCCTTCTTTAACCCTCCAGTCAGCCTCAGAGAGGGGTCCAGGCTGTGGCCACACTGGGGCAGCCCTTAGACTCCCAGCATTCCCCTCGACTGGGGCAATTCTGAGCTTGGTAACTTCTGGGGCCTGAGGATGGACAGCATCCTTCTCTTTCCCGCCTTTGGATGGTGTGCCAGCTGCCCTCCCTCAGCAGCCCACACATGTGTTCGAGCCCTATCCACAGAGGCCTTGCCTGGTCTGCTCCCTCACTCACGGCTCCACGCAGCAGATGGTGGCTGAAGCAGCACCTGCAATGTGCTGCCTCCAAAGCATCAAGGTCCAGCTGTCCCGGAGACTAGAGCAGGGGCTAGCAAACTACCAGCAGGAGGTGTAGTGGTTAAGGCACTGGACTCCCATATGGTCAACCATAGTTTGAATCCCAGGCCTGGAGACTTGCTTTCTCACTTTCCCTTTCTCTCTGGTGAGTGCATGTACCCCATAGTGCAAATTTTAAAATAATAATAATAAAAATAAATAATAAATAAAAACCTATAGCCCGTGGGTTGAATGTGTCCCTCACCTGTCTTAGTAATAAAGTTTTATTGAAACATCCATCCTCACTTGTTTACCTAGTGTCTGTACTGCTCTGCCTGTCATCTCGTTGTGACCGAGACGGGATGGCCCTCCACACTGAAAGTATTTACCCCCTGGCCCTTTACTGGAAAAGGCCCTTCGCCAAAACCTGGAAGAGCATCTGGCAGAGGAGACGGACATGAACAAGTCACTGGAAGAAATAAATAAATGGAGCCAGCAGGTGGCATGATGGTTAGGGAGGTGGACTTCCACACGGTTGACCGCGGCTCCATACCCGGACCTGGCAGCTCGCTTTCTCACTTTCCCTCTCTCTCTCTCTGGTGAGCACATGTGTCCTATAGCAAATTAAGAAGTAGCAATGGGGACAGCAGATGTGTGGTGGCCGGAGTGTTGGACGACTTCCACAGGGCTGGCCATGATTCGAGTCCCAGACCGGGCCTTCTCTCTCACTCTTTCTCTCTGGTCAAATTAAAAGAAAATTAATTGAATTAAATAAACAAGTCTTGGGTCCAGCAAATGGCCTGGTGGATAAGGGTGCTGGACTCCTACAGGGTCGACTGTGGTTCGGGTCCCAGACCTGGTGGCTTGCTTTCTTACATTCTCTCTCTCTCTCGCTCTGTCCCTCTCTGGTCAAAATTTAAAATAAATAAATAAATGAATAAATAAAATAATTATTTTTTAAAAGCCTTTAAAATAACAATAATAAATAAATAAAATAAATAATTCTAAAATAAATAAATAGATGGAGAAATCATGAGAAGAGTAGAAGGGACCACACACAGGGGCAGGAGCTGACATGCTTTTTGTTTTGTTTTGTTTCTTTGAGAGATTTTTGCTATAGGGGGCGTGCACTCACCAGAAAGACAGAGACAGAGACAGAAAGCGAGAAGTCACCCCCCAGGGGGATGGTCACACCACAATCCCTTCTCCTCCATTCCCTCTCGGGATCTTGGGCACGCATGCACACGCGCCCGGCGTGAGTTTAAGCCACCAGGTCCGGGACGCGAACCGCAGTTGGCTACGTGGGAGTCCAGCGACATAGCCATTATGGCTACTGCTGGTCCCGGAGCTGACATGTTTTAGACCACCCCAGTACCCCACCAGGTCAGCCAGACAGAGGTGGGCAGCATGCTGGCACTCAGCAGGCCACGCCTTAGGCTGGAGCCTCCCCTGGGAGTGTTTACGCTGGGCAGTCCGAGGGTCTGGCTGAAATCTGTACTTGGACCAATGACCTCCTCCTCCCTGCTGCGTCTCACCTGTCCTCGTGGTCCACCGCCAGCCATGGGCTCCTTCCAGTCCGTGGGCCGTCTCCTGGGAGACAGGCAGGAGCGGGAAATGACATCCCTTCACCAATGGGACAACAATGGCCCCTTACATTTGATGACTTGGCCTGGCTTCCTGTCTCAGGCAGAGATCTTGATGTCGTGGGAAAGCCCTGGGCGGTATTTAGGACACCGGGGGTCCTAGCCCAGGACTCATCCGGGCAAGTCTGCTCCCCTCTGGGCTCAGAGTCTGCGTCTGTTACTGAGAGGGTTGGGTAAACCAGTCTGCGGATTCTTTTCTGGCCTGCCAGCAGCACGCTGGGGCTCGCCCGTCGCTCTCCAGGCCTCCATTTGTCTCTGTAAAATGGGGAGATGAATGCTGGGCCCTCCCACACTCCTGGGCTGGTCCCAGGCCAGGGAGATCACAGATGGGAAAGTGCTTTGAGCTCAGTGGAAAGGCGCTCTATAAACCCCGAGACAGGAGAAAGTGTGGACTGGCCGCGGCGCCCCCGCAGTGCTTGGCCTGACCAGCAGAGGGCACTGTGGGGACGCGAGGCCGGCAGGTGAGTGGCATCTGGTTCAAGCCTGGGAGGGCTGTGGGCTGAGCCTGCGCTGCCAGACACAGGGACATGGCTGTGAACGCTGGGGTCCCAGGATGCCCCCGGTCACAGAGGGAGCGGGTGGATGGGGACTGGGAGCAAACAGGCCTACACAGTGGGATGGGAGCCATGGGGGTGCAGGACACAGGAGAGCCGTCCAGCCTGAAGCCCAGAGGTCTGGCTGGAGGGCCCAAGGGCAATGGGGAGAAATGTGGGCTTGGGGCCTGCCCTGCCACCTGGGGCAGGTCAGCCCCCCTCTCTGGGCCCATAGAATGGGGGCCCAGAGCTGTGATGAGGGTTGAATGAGCTGATCTTGGGTGACACTGTTGGAACAGGGCCTGCCTCCTCAAATGCCTCTCTTAGAACCCAGCGTCAGTGGTGTGGAACGCGAGGGGGTCGTGCCTGCCTAGGGGTAGTGATGAGGACAGGGCTGAGGACAGGTGAGGAGAGGCCCAGACTAGGGGACTTGGTGGAGGGGAGCACATGTCCTGGGGGCTGTTTGAAAAGCACCCGGTACAGCCCGAGCCAAACGCTCCTGCCAAGTCACCTCCCCCCAGCCCCTCCTGAGCTGCGCACCCTTGGTCATGTCACTGGGCCTCTCTTAGCCTCCGTCTCCACCTCTGTAAAATGGGGACATCGCTGCTGTGTACCCTAGGACAGCCTGGCTCTGGGAACCAGTATGCCCGTACTGCCCACCCACCACCCCCTACCGTAATCCCTTGGCCCCACAACCAGCCAGGTCTTTTGTTTAGAAAACCAGTCTAAGAGGAAAACCCCAAAAACAAACAGAGCCCAGCTGGTCTCCCCTGCCCAGCCCTGCCCTGCCCTGCCCTGCCTGGGGAAGTGTTTTTCCCAGCAGAGGTGTGGGCACAGGTGGCAAGACCAGGTCAGGGGCCCAGGACTCCCCTTGGGTGGCGATTTCGCTACAGGAGAGCGGGCAGCAGGACGCAGGGGTAAGCTGGCTAATCAGAGTTCTCCCCCAGCCATGAGGCCCTGATCCCTAAGTCCAGGGAGGAGTCGAAGGCCCTCAGGGCTGACCCAGGAGGTCCCTGCTGGAAGGGCAGAAGCCAATAGACTAAGGTGGGAAGAAGGAATTTTTAAAAGTACCTTTTGGGGAGCCAGCAGGTGGTGTGGTGGTTAAAATACTGGATTGCAGGTGGTGTGGTGGTTAAAATACTGGATTCCACATGGCTGACTTCATGGTTCGAGTCCTAGACACAGTGGCTTGAAAATTATACTGGAGACGTGTGTGTGTGTGTGTGTGTGTGTGTGTGTGTGTCCAAGATCCCGAGAGGAGAATGGAGGAGAAGGGATTGTGGGGTGGCCATCCCCCCTGGGGGGTGATTTCTTGTTTTCTGTCTTTCTGTCTCTCTCTGTCTTTCTGGCAAGCACACGCGCCCTATAGCAACAAACAAAAAAACAAACCAAAAAAATAAAATAAAATAAAACACCTCTCCAACAAAAGACAAAAAAAAAAAAAAAAAAAAAAAGGAATTATTTTATGG